CCTAGTCCCTATTCACTCGGGGGTGGTGGGGAGTGGGGGGGGCACAATAAACACCTTCACTTCTCTGGGCCTTCTTTTCCTCACCTATGAAATGAGAGGATATCCTCCAAGGCTGAGTCCAGCTCTAACATCCTGGTATTCTCTGGCATCTCTGGGTTAACAACCCAAGATGTGAAAGGCTGGACAACCCCTCCCTGATCTGCTCGCCTCTCACCAGGTTCCTCAGCTCTTGTCTCCTGTTTCTGCAACCTTCTTCCCTCTCCTGCCACTACCCATCTGAAGCCTGGTCACTATGCCTTCTGTCCACTTTTATAAGGAGCTTATGCTCCAACCTCCTGATAGGGCAGCTGCTGCTGCATCAGACCTTATGATGACCCTACCAGGTACCGTCTGGAAGAAAAGAGGAAGAGAATTGAGGACAAAACGTATCTCCCCTCTGCTGTGGGGGTGGTGGCCTAGAGCTGCAGAATAGGTCAGCTATGGTGAGTGGACCAGCTTGTTTGCACTCCAAAACTAGGGAGGGTTCCATGGTGAAGGAAGGGGTGGGACTAGACATTGAGAGGTAATTTATTTTAAAAGCTACCATAAAACCTTTAAAAAGAAAGAAGATACAAATGTTTCTTCCTTCAGTGTGGAGTGAGGCTGTACTCAACCACGATCACTTAACCAGGCTGTCTCCCTTCTCTGAACTGGGCAGCTTCTCAGTCCAGGAAGCTCCCTTACCCACAGGAGCCCTCTTCCTGCTGGGAAGCTCCATATAGCAATCTTTCCAAAGAGACCTTCAGCTTCACTGCTTCCCCACTTTCCACCTCCTGTTTAGAAGATGTCTGTCTGGGTTCCTCCCTCTCTGAATGCTGGGGGCAGGTCCCCACTCTCTTCTCTCCAAAGAGCTGGGGGACCAATTCTAGCCAGCACAGAATGCCCAGGGATGGGGTGACATTCCCCTCTCTCCATCTCAGGACATATCTCACAGTCAAGAAAAACTCAACAAAATACATGGGGACCAGATGCCCAAGGACCTCCTCAGTTCTCCTCCACGTCACTGCCTGACAGCCAAGAAAGCCAAGAAAAAAACTAATCAATGAAATTTTAGGCTTCATGAAGGGAAATATCCCTTCCAGGACCCTAGTCTTTGGCCTTGGGCAGAATGCATCTGGAATATTGTGGTCAGTTCTGGGTACCCATTTGGGGATCTCCAGATAAGCTGGAGTGCCCTGAGGAGGGGATGGTGATGACTGTGCCTATCTGTTGGAAGAACAGGGACATTTTGTCTGAATAAGACTGGGGGTAGGAGTGGGGAGAGGGAAACTTGAAGGCTGACTTCAAGTATGTGATGGATTGTCATACGGGAAAGGGGTTAGCTTTGTTCTGTTGCGCCCCAGAGGAGTCCAGGAGTGATTGGGGTGGGGGGTGTTGTAGGTCAGGAAAGTCTTCCCTCTGGGTGCTGGGATGCCTCCAGACCTAAGGGCATCCTTCTCCCTGGAGGTCCTCAAGCTTTTGCTTGAAGGATATGGTAGGAGGTTTGCTTCTGGGGTGTGGGAGGGCCCCTGAGGTCCCTTCCAGCTCTGAGTTTCTGTGACCCCAAAGGGTGCTAACAGCAAGTCACATGAGAGCTGGAGTCATGCTCCCAAGTGCTGGCATCAGCTGATGGAGACATACCCACACACACACACACACACACACTCCCTGAGAGTTTCCTTCCCCTGTTTCTCCTACCTGCTTCCTCCCAGACTGGCCCCAGCACAGCTCTGAAACCATTTTACAGAGAAAGGTGACCCTCCAGTTATGATAGCTGGGGGCACTGTAAATACAGGAGTCAAAAAGCCCAAGCCCAAATCTATAACTTGCCACTGACTAGCAGTGGTGTGACCCGAGGCCTCAGTTTCCTCATCTGGAAAGATGACGGTGCTGGCAGGAGTAAAGCAAGCCCTAGAGTGCCATCCAAGCAGGCATTCCATAGGGGCATAGGCAAGGACAGTCTAAGCCTGCCCCATGGCTACGATGGCAGGCGACCCCAGCAGCTCCCAATAGAGAAAGGTACCAAGAACTGCGAAAAGCCCCATCAGACTATGGAACTGCCCTTCAGGCTTCCTAACTCAGACTGAGATGAGCTCATTTTAAAAATAAAAAGCAGAACCCGGGCAAAGGCAGGCTCCTAGAAGCGCTGGGTCATCTCTGCCCATGCTCCTTCTAGGGAAGAAAACTAAACCGGACAAATCACAGAATGTCAGCACTCTGAGATCATCGGGGACACCCCCTTCTTTTGCGGAAGTGGCAAGCGGGAGGCCAGGAAGGTGGTGATCTACCCAAGGTCACACCGTTCTATGGGGCAGAGCCAAGATATGGATGCAGGACTGCTGAGCAGGGCACTGTTCTTTCCAGCGCCCTGGCCTCTCCTAGAGGGCTGGCTGCCTTGGAGGGGCAGATCAGACCTCCATTCCAAAGCCCCATTTTTACACTGGCAGCCTGGGAGAGGAAGGACTGATAAATAAACATCAATAACAACACTAACAAAGCAGCCTGTTAGCACCTGGGCCCCACAATTCAGTACAGATCCATTTTGCAGATAAGGAAACTGAGGCTCAGGGAGGTTGGGCAACTTGCCTCTGGTGACACTAATATTGCAGAGGGGAACTGAAGCCAGGCCTTGCTGCCTCCCAGACCTACCCAGCCCCTACACTGTCATCACCAAGCTGAGTCAGAGGGGTCCTGACCCAAAGATATTTCTATAGGATCCTTTCCCACAACACTGCAGTAATAATAATAATAACTTCCTCACAGTTAGGAACCATCAACTGAGCCTCTCTCCTGACTCAGTCCAGCAGGGCTCCGCCATGATGCTTCTCTATTCCCATTTGCCAAATGAGGAAGAGGAGGCCTCAGAGAGAGTCAGTGTCTCGCCCTGGTCACAGATCGGGGCATGGGAATCCCAGAGTCTCCAGACTGCCAAGGCCAGGGCTCTGAGGTTCGCTAGACAGGGGCCCGGAGGCCCGAGGAAGGGGAAAGAGGTGATGGAGGGAAGCTGAAGAAGGACCCTCCACTTCCCTGGAAAGCAGGGCAGACGGTGATCGGGTGATGGAGAAGGTGGAAACGCAGGGTTGCAGGCGCCGCGCCTACAAGCCCTCAGTGTCAGGTCGCCCGTTATGGGACCCACCTGTTGGTGGGTCGCGGGCTGTCACGGTCACCGAAGCCAGAGCCCCCGCCCCAGGCTGCGGGGAGGGCGCCGGCTTCGGGGTGGAGGAGGTGGGGCCGCACGCCGGCTGCTGGGCCACGCGGATCTGGGGCGCACGGCACGGCAGCGGCAGGGGTGCGAGGCTGAGGGGCACGGCGGCGTGCGTGCGTGCCTGTCCGCTCGCGTTGCCAGGCACAGGAGCGTGCGTGCCTGGCATGCGTGGGGTGAGTGAGTGGGTCCGGGGGCCCGTAGTCCCCAGGGCGCCCTGGCACCGGCAGCAACAGCAGCTGGCCTCTTTCGCCGGCTAGCTTCGGGTAGTTATCGGGCTGGGCCTGGGAATGGGGGTGGGGAATAGGGGGGAACCTCCTGCTACCGCTCCGCCCCCCACCCCCGGCCGCCCTGGTGCTGCCCCAGGGTGGGGCTCCGGGAGAAACTGGGAGAACAAAAGACCACGGCGGCGGCGGCGGCTACTCCGAGGTCCAAATGAGGTGGGCTGGCGGCGGCCCGGCCTCCCCTCCCCGCCCCCGCGCCCTCTCCTTCCCGGCGGCCCAGCCTTCCCTCCCCTCCCAGCCCCCGCGGCCCGCGCCCCCTCCTCAGCCCGCCGCGTAGCCGCCCCCCTTCTCCGTGCCGCAGGAGCGCGCTGCACCCGCGCGGGCTTCTGCGGGGAGCTGGAGGCCGGGGGGAGCCAGGCGTGCACGCCTCGCCTGCCTCCGGAGTCCTCCCGCTCCCCTCCTCTGTCCTCGCGCCCGCCCCGCCCCTTTCCCACCTGGATTCCCAACAGAACAGCCAACTCACTACTGCGTGAAGCGGAAAAAAAAAGTGATCCGACCTGATTTGTTTTCTCTGCCGACGTTTTTGTGGCCCGCCTCCCCTGCGGCTAAACGTTGGCAGCAGCCGGCGCGCGCTCCCCACCCCGGGCCCTGACCCGGCGGGCTGGCGGGCTGGCGGGGGCGAGGCGCAGGTACTAGCCGGGCCTCGGACGCACTCACGCCTCCGCCCGGGATGGGAGGCGGGGGGTGGAAATGTCTGGGTACCTTTAAGATAGACGCTCCCCCTCCCCCGCCGCTGTCCTTCTGCCCCCGGCTCTCCGCAAATCTTCTCGATCTCGCCATCTCCCGCCTCCCGAAGCTATGCCTCAGTGCCTGCGGGAGGACGAGTCCGCCGCTCCTAGCGGCACTGCTCGAACCGCACCCCCTCCCCACCTACCTTAGCGGGGCGGGGCTTGGACTGCGCCCCACTCCGTTCCCACAGCCCGGCGGCACCTCGGTTCTGTGGGCGCCCACCCCTGCCTGGGTTCCCGAGTCTTACCGAACTGGACGGTGACCCTCCCAAACCCCATGCCCCCCCCAAAGGGTGCAGGTAGGGGCCATAACGGAGAACAGCTGCAACGAAAATGCTCCCCCCACCCCCGCCTGCTGGAAGGGTTTGGGGTAGTAAGAAGGACAGAGCCTTCGATCCCCCCTCCCCCCATCTAGGAAAAAGACTTGTTTATTTTTTTCTGACCTGTTGTTGCTTGGGGGGGGGAGGCGCCGAGGGGAAGGGAGGAAAGGCAAGATGCAACTCAGATGTCTGACCCAACTTCTGATCTGAGAGCTGATATTAACCCTCTGCAAACCCGCACATCCCTACCTGCTCCCCAGCCCCCCAACCCCAGCCTTGCTTGTGTCCTCTCCGTACCCCCGAATCCTTACCCCGTTTGGCATGGGCACTGTTGGGGTGCGAAGTTCACTGGCCTCGGCAGAAGAGGGAAAGGAGGGGGCGAAGGGGGTTAAGGGCTGGAGATGGGGGGAGCAAGAATGAAAAAGCCATTTTGGTCATTGGCACTCACCTCGGTGCTGACCAGACGCAGGTAGCAGAAAGACAAGAGCAGCGCGCAGCAATTCATCCCGACGCAGCCGGCCCCGCGGGGCTCCGGACACAGGGGCGGAGGGCGCCTCCGTGCCTGCTTCCAGGCCAGGGTGTGCGCGCTCGGCTCCGCTCGCCTTGGTTCCCACCGGCTCAGGCGCTCGGGCTCTTCCCGCTGGTGCCGCCGCCGCCCCCGGCACCACTCAGCCGCATGGCCCCCGGGGCGCCGTCGCCCCCCGTCCGGCTCCCAGCGAGCCTGGAGCCGCTCTGGCCGCGTCCTTCTCCTGCAGCCGCTGGCGCCGGCGCTCGGGGCGGCCTGGGGGCGCTACCCGGGCGGATCCCGAGCCGGAGCGCGCATCCACCGTCCCCCGGGGTGTGGGTGGGGAGAGAGTAGGGGGCTGTTTGGGGAAGGCCGGGGAGCCTGAGGCTCCTGATCCCTCAGAAAAAAGGGCACGCCTGTTGGCACTCCCCAAGACAGGCGAGAGAGGGCGAATCCTCTCTCCCCCAGGCTTAGATTAATTGCAGTATTTGAGGTGGGGGGACGTGAAAAAAAATCTCAGAACCTGTGGTTGGAGAAAGGGGAAATCAGCGGGCCAGAGCCCCCCGGAAACTTTTCCAAAGTTGGGTGTACCCCAGCGGCCAGTTCCCTTTCTTTGCACCCCCTCTGCGCCTTCGGGCTGGGCTGGGGCGGCACTTGGAGCCAGGGAGAAAAGCCCGTGTTGCAGCCTTGGGGAGGCTGGAGGGGCCGCTGTCCGAGTTGGGGGTGGGGGTCGGGGCCTCGCCGCCCTGGGCTGCGCCTGAGGGTCGCCTCGCTCTGCCTGTTTCCGGGCGCCCCCTCGGGCGGACACAGGTGGACTCGGTGCCCGCGTGCTGCTCCCCGTCTGGGCGGCTCCAGCAAGAGCAGAGCTGGGCTGGGCTGCGGCGGCCCCCGGCTCGCTTCGCCCCTGCAAGCCGGGCCGGGTTTTTTTATTTTGTGAGGAAATATAATCTTTTAGAATGGCAAATCAACGTGGTCCTGCAGCTTTTCGGGAGGCCGCGGCTGGGGGCGTGAAGGGGATCCCCCCCGCAGGAAGCCGGGAGAGGCGAGCTTGCCGGAGCTGGGCTGGGCTGGGCTGGGCTGGGCCCGGGAGCTTGGCGGGGCCGAGAGCCCAGGCTGGCGGGAGGAGAAGTTGCCACCCTTTCAGCTGCTCCGGCTTTTAAAGGAGACGGCAGAGTGTGCAAGAGGTGGGTGGAGACAGCCTTCCTCTGCTGGCCCGAAGTCAGCACCGAGAAGGCAAGGAGGAGGCAGGCAGGGACTGGGAAGGGGGTGGGAAGGAGGGAGGATGGGAGGGAGGGAAAGAAGATGGGAAGCAAGGAGGGAGGAAGAGAGGATGGGAGGAAGAGAAGAGGAAAGGAGGATGGGAGGAAGAGAAGAGGAAAGGAGGATGGGAGGAAAGCCTTGGGGGGCGGGGGAAGAGTGGACAGGCTCCCTCCTGCTTGAGCAGGAGAAGCCTGGGGGTCCCGGGGTCCCGGATTAGCTGAAGAAGAGACTGCGCTCCCAGAAACACCGGCTTCTAAAACTGAGGAGTGGGGTGGGGTAGTGGGGTAGACACTCGGTGCTCTGCTTCTACCTCTGCCCCAGGAGCCAGAGGGCAGGCTCCGTTTCCTTGGCTCAACCCTCTCCCAGCCTCTTCCAACCACAAATAGAGTGAACCGGGAGCATCTCAGCGCTGAATGACCTTGCACAAATCACTTCCCCCTTCTGTGGACCTCAGTTTCTCGTCTGTAAAATGGGAGTGATGACATACTATTTGCATCTTATACCAACTAGAGACATGTGGGGCATTATGTGCACAGTTGAGCAAAATGGTCCATTCCACCAGTGGAAAAAGCATTCACTTGGACTCTGTGAATACCCACAGATTCCTCTTGGGCACAATCATCTTGGTCCTCTGTGGCATTCTCCCCTACTCTGTGTGGTGGGTAATACAGACATGTCTCATTCACGGAAGAAGCTAGCCTTGGTTCTCTGCCCCCCTTCCCCAGCCCATCCAATCAAGTGCTCTGGTTGCTTCCTTTTCACATTTTTTCTTCCTTCGATTTGTATCATGAACTTAACAACAAACAGACATTCCAATATGAAAAACAGAACAAGAAAGAAAATTGTATATGACAGTGTGAACTTGTATTACATCCATTTGGGGATGGTGTGGGTTTTTTTAACCACTCTGCCACAGTCATGCCCCTCACACCCCCACACGAGCCACATTCACCCTTCTGACAATGACCCTGACCCTGGCCCACATTCCTGTGGTCGCTGCCATCTCTTCTGAAGCTTCAAGGTTTCCAGTTTTTCTTCAGGACACCAGTGCATCACACCCTGCCGCCAGCTTGGGGGGGGGGGCTGTTTTGCCTTTGCTATTGACACACATACGCCACCAAACTGGTGAACTGCTGTCAGTCCCAGATCCCAACACTTCCTAGCCCTTCTGGGCTGCCTGGACCTTTGGTGCATTTTGGCTTAACCAACTTCCCTTTCTTCTGAATTCATGGCTCTCTGGGTCCCACAACCAGGACTGGCTAGCTCTCTGCTTGCTCTCTGCCTTGACTTCTCATCCCTCACTTATCTGCCCCCTTTTCTTTCTAAAATGTCTAATTGGGCTGGGGAGAAGTGAGGAATCAAAGCAGAATTTTGATTCCTGTTTGGGGGAACCCCGTAGAATGTTAGCCGCTTGAGGCCAGAAGGGCCTAGGCAGATGACCTAGGTTCAGATCCAGTGTCTGATGCTCCCTACCTATGAGACTCGGACACGTCGCCTCAATTCCTCGGACTTCTCAGTGATGCAATGACGGCCTCTGGCGCCTCTGGCCAGCTCCAGGTCTGTGGTCCTGTAAATCGCTTATTCTCAGTGAGCCTGTTTCTTCATCTGCACCATAGAGGGGTACAGCCACATGGCCTCTGGGGCCTCTTCCATCTCAGGATCTCTTTTTTGTTGCTGTCATTATGATGTCAGCATTTGAATTTAAATAAATTGAACCCAGATTGGTCCCAAACTAATGACCTAGTCACCAAATTAGTCACCAATTTTTACCTTCCCTTTCTGCTCTTGGCTTAGTTCATAGGATTCAAAATTTACAGCTGGAAGCTTAAAGGCTAACTGGTCCATTGCCCTCATTTGACCTGTGAGGAAACTGAGGCAGAGAGGGGAACTGATAGCTAAATTCACATAGCTAGAATCAGAGGCAGTCCTCATAGGCTCCCAAGATTTAGAAATTGACTGGATCTCGGAGGGCATCTAAGCCAAACCCTTATGTTACAGATGAGAAAATAGGCCCAGGAAGGGGAAAGAATTTGCCTGTGATCGCACAGGCAGAGCCAAGATTCAAACCCACCTGGAATGTCTTCTCTCATTTGCCATCACAGCCTAGGCATGCAGTTAGAAGGGGGTGGGGGAAGCACTGGATTCAGGGTCAAAGGACCTGAGTAGGAATCCTGGCATCTACCACCTCTGTGTCTTTACCCAAGCTTTGCCCCTCTCCTGGAATGCACCCCCGCCTCCACGCTGCTTCTTCCAGTCCCTAGTTTCTTTCCACTCACAGGTTGGCTGTTACCTCCTTCCTACCAGAAACTTTTCCTGACCCATTGCAGTTAAGTGCTTTCCCTCCCATGACTTATATCTGTCCTCAGTAGAAGGTAAGGTCCCAGAGGGCCCTTTTGTCTTTGTATGCCCTGGTGCTTGGCCCAGACTAAGGACTTAATAAATGCTCATTGCTATCATTTATATTCACTTATCTGTGACCATGTTGTTTCCCCCTAGTAGAATGGAAGCTCCTGGAGGGCAGGGGCCTGTTTTGCTTTCATCTTTGCGTCTTTGTGTCTGCTACACAGTAAGTGCTCAATAAATGCTTCTGGAATGAATGAATTTCCTTATCTTTGAGCCTGTAAAATGGGGGGGGAGGGGAGGTAATAATGCTTACACTTCCTACCCAAGATCACAGAGATAGGGATGAAAGCAGCATCTACTCTAGATTCAGGGAAAAATGGACGTAAGGGCTGAACCCTGATGAGATGTTGGAGGAGGATGATGATGATACAATTGTTCTCTTGGGAAATTGGCTCTTGAATCAGAGAAGCTACCCTCCATCTAGAGAAGACAAAGACTAGGCAGTCTCCTCTCCCCATGGCCCCTCACCTCGGCTGTCCAGGCGGTGCATGTGGCTCCCCCAGAAGCTAAGTGCAGGGCTGTGGCCAGCCCCAAGGCCCCCATGGGGGTGGCTTTTATGGTAGGCACTTAGGTGCAGGCTGAAAACATCTTCACAAACTCTAGCCCTGAGCTGGGAGCGAAGTGCCAAGGGGGAGAGGCCCAGGACTAGCTGGGTGTGGCTGTGCCCATGACTCAGAACCCTTCCAGGGTGCCACTCTTGGACAAGGCCAGGGACAGGCTGCTGTGTGCGGCTTGAGGCAAGCAGGTCATGACCCCTGGCAACATATACCTTGAAATCTCAGCCTCCCATGCTCCTTCTCCTTTGTAGGAGAAACGTATTCCTCAGCTCAGGCACCATCTCCCACAGGAAGCCTTTGCTGATGCCCTTGGTTATCAGAACCCTCTCCCACCCTCTTCAAGCTGCCTGGTATCGACCTATCTACAAACATATCACAGAATGTCATCTCTCTGAAGACAAGGACTGGTCTGTTTTTGTCTCTGTATTCTGAATCGAACAAACATTTAATAAGCACCTACTGTGTGCCCATCATTGTGCTCATCAATGAGGTTACAGAGACCCAATAAATAGTTCTTGCCCTTGAGGATCACGGAAATCAGGATTTGGCATGAGACAAGACTTCAGCATCCCCCTAGTCGAAGCCTGTACACAAAAGGGGTCCTCACTATATCATCTGACAAATGATCCTCTGGCTTCTGCCTCCTGAGACAGGCCAGCTCTTTTCCCTGATGACAAACCTAAATCAACTTCTTTCCAACCTCGCTCACCCCCTTCTAGTTTTGCATTTCTGGACCAGAAGGAAACAGTCCAGTGAATCTCTCTTCCATGAGGTGGTCTTTCGGATGCTTGAAGACAGCTGTCGAATCCTTCCCTGGGTCTTCTCTCCAGGCCAAACATGCCTCTTTCCTACTATCAATCTTTATGTGACATGGACCCATGGACTGAAGGCCCTTCACCATCAGGATTCCTCCCTCTGGTGCTTTTTAATGTCCTTCTTAAAGGGGAGAGCCAGAGTTGACACAAGGCTCCAGCTGAGGTCTCATGAAAGAAGAGTACAGTGGCTCAATTCTATCTGGGGAGACATGTATACCATAAGATAAACTTATGGGGGGCAGCTAGGTGGTGCAGTGGCTAGAGCACCCACCCTGGAGTCAGGAGGACCTGAGTTCAAATACGGCCTCATACACTCAACACTTAGTAGCTGTGTGACCCTGGGCAAGTCACTTAACCCCATTGCCTAACCCCCCAAAAAAAAGAAAGAAAAAAAGATGAACTTATGGCACTTTGTCAAGGAAATTGGGGGGATCAGGGAAGGCTTTCTGTAGGAAGTAGCATTGGAGCTTAGCTTTCAAGTATTAACTAGGAGTTCTAAGAGGTGGAGATGAGAACTGAGGCATTCCAGGGTTGAGGACAGCGTGTGCAAAGCCATGGAAGGTGGAGGTGGCTGGGGAAAGTGGTTCAAGTCACTTTATCCCCATTTTACAAATGAAAAACTTAGAGGGGAAGTTACAAATCCGAGATCACACAGGCGGAGTTCACCAAGTTTGGTGTATAAGTCCTACATAAATATTTGTTGACTTGAATTACACGTTCCGCCTTCTCCCCTTCTAAAGTCCAGGGAAGGGGCAGCTAGGTCAGGAGCACCTGAGTTCAAATCTGGCCTCAGACCAAACACTTAACACTAGCTGTGTGACCCTGGGCAAGTCACTTAACCCCAATTGCCTACAAATTAAAAAAAAATTAAAAAATAAAATCCCGGGAAGTCTGGAGAACCTGGTAAAGGGTCCTTGATGCCACATATACTATTCAGACTTGAGGAGGCATGCCTACTTCCCACAGCCCTGCCTTGGGATGTTATGGCTCCACTCTACCCACAACACAGCTGCTCCAAGGTACCCTATTCTCCTCCGGGTCCAAGGGAAGCAGAGGATGCTTCCTAGCAGAATTCCAAAATTAGGCCAGCAAGGGGATCAAC